TCACCATGGAAGTTTTCCTGCAATGTTTAATTACATGTTTCAGAAAGCTGCCAAAAGAGCACAAAGTGTCCAACAAAACGACTTACTTTCAACCAATTCCTTCCGAATAACAGGCAATGTATATGATAACGTTACCAATCAACAGATAACATTTGCCCTGAGTAGTTGTCAATGTATTACTTATTGTAGTTATTACAAAACAAATATATTTGTATGTCCATTATCATGTACAAACTATGTTATATAACACGTTCAGTAAGACAGTTTAATCCAAAGAGATGACAATAAATGCACATTTTAAGGAACAGACGAAAATCAAGCATATATATATCAGTTGTAAACATTGTCCGACAAATTCTTGATATGTTTGATTCGGATGGATTAATGGATTATCGTGTTCTAAGATAAATATCAGGTTTATTAACGAAAAATACAAATGAAAAGCACCATTTAATACTGATTTAGAAATAGATACAGACGTAAGAAGTAATTGTTTAAACTGTATGTACAAGTGTCAAGTGATAACGAATTCCTAAATTTTGAAATCTTGAAATCCATTTTATTACGAAATTCGCATTTTATCTAAGCCACGAAATATTCAGTTGTGTGTAAAGTAAATGTGTAGTAGTTAACTTTAATAAGTATACTAAATGCATATGACCTTGATGGCAAAACTTGCATTCATGAACAATCTCATACTGGACAATGTATGTTACATAATGGCAGATACGTATTAAGTGAAGACACACATAAAAACCGAATACTTATAAATGTACACGACATATCAGATGAAACAAAAATAGAATAAGACTACGATAATGTATTCTGTATTCAATTTTTAATAGGATATACAACAAGTAGAAAAAAATGCACTCTACTGCGACAGAGGCACTGTGATTGATTTATTAAATAAAACAAATAATTTTCAAACAAAAATATACTTCATGGACAAAAACACGCGTACACACCCTCACACACCACACATATATGCACTTGCAAGAAAAAACTACATAATTTTAAATTAAGTAATCAAATTGAATGTTTTTCCATATTATTTTCCGTATAACTATTTCAATAAGATAATAATATATCCACTTAGTTTAGAAAATAAAATAATAATAATTTTTCGTCTGTCCCCTAAATGACACATAAAGGTAACACGCGGCACGTGCAGGTCTCAGACCATCACGTTACCTAGCGACGCATAACATAGCGAAGATAATTTCAACCTTATTCATACTGATCACATGGTTAAAATTGAATTGTATAGGCAATATCTGTTTGATAAGGAAATTTCAATATAGTTAATTTGAATGATGAATTACCGTATTACAAAATAAGAGGAAAATGTACTTAAATCGAAGATATAAGGGCCTCATTAAAACAAATAAGTAAGTCTTGCTTTTTTCCTGTTTTCCTGTGCCCTACTCCAGTGTATAGCAGGCATAGATATGGCATGATAAATATAGCGTCAAGGTAGACATTTACGAGGTTCCAATGTTTGATGTCAATTTTACTTCTTTGATTGTATTCTCCCAGATATACGCATTAAAATGTTTCTTTAAAGTTGCGTTTACTTGAAAATGGTAACATCGACACGGTCTTATTTATATAAATGTATCTAAAAACCTACTCATCTGCTTATACTAAATGCACGAACATTTATAAATATATTAGTCATATATTTAACTATAGGTTAATAAGATGGACCTTGCTATGTAAGTTTTATACAGAAGGTAGGATGGAACATATAAACGTAGACAGTAGAAATAAAACTTTAATTTATGTTCAGAATATTGAACTCCTTTATCTCTCAGAGACATTGTGGAACTTTACTTCATTTAGATAATGCGAGTCCGATGAGATATGGTCAATTTTCAAACTCCTTTAATCATAAAACAGGAAGTTTCTGTCCATCAGATTATAGATAATTTGACAACCCTTCATCTTATAATGCAAGCACCAAATCTGCAGTATAATTACAAGAAAAGTCATTCCTATCCTATTGGTAGTAAGATGGCATCAATTATCACTTTTATATATTGAGGACTGCAAAAATATAAGTTAATATTTTAGTCTGGAAATATTCCTAAAAACCTTGAATTATATATATATAATGATCTAAATATATAATAGCTTAATGTCGATTGTACATCTACCTAAGAAGACAGTGAAGACAAAGAATTACAAACACTTTTTTCGATGACCACTACAATCTGGAAATCTTATATAATGGATGTACAATGTGCAGTGAAGACATTAATATAACCCTTCTTTTGACATACTTGCAACATACGGATTTGAATAAAAGATAGATGATTGAATAATTGAAAACGTTTCATTTGATTTGAGTGTATAGTTATTGATATTCAATTAAGAATCAGTACATGTGCTTATAAGGAACGAATGAATAGTATGATCACAAGTTAATAGTTTTTTTTGTTATTATATCCTTATTTCAAAACTAGAAAATTAATTATATATCGATTATTTCACAACAAAAATGAAAATTTTAATCTAACTTTGATCTTAATTTATTCTATCATTATCAGACAATCAGATTGTTATCGCGCATCTCTTCAGGCTAGTGTATCTCCGTCTGCAGGTCGCAAGAATATGCTTTATATAAGTTATGGTTGGAAACATTAAGCGATAAAATTTTACATCCATTTTCTAAACAGGAGTTGTCTCCTTTACACCGTAACATCTAGATAAATTTAAATATAACAAGTCCATGGCCTTACACGTCTCTGGCCACGTAACTGTTGTAATAAGCATGTTTGTTACACAGACACACCGATCCATCCTTTCTCTGTTCAACTTATTATGCCTCTGCAATCCGTTTCCAGGAATTAAATGTTGACCAATGTAAACTACGAATTGAAGTGAGAAAATCATACCTTCAACGCGTCAAAGGAGAGGTAAGTAAGACTATTCAAAACAGCATAAAGTAGCATTGATAGCAGTTGTTTTTGATCGATTATATAATAAAATAGAGAAAGGATAATCGACATACAACGACCGTTGATAACATAAAACTAATTTATGTTTTTATGAAGATCTGCATAGTTAATCAGATGGAATTTCAATGGCAATTAAGTTCAGAAATGATCAATTATACTTTATTGTAAGGGTACATATGTAATGACGAAACTAATTTGATTGGCCATGTTTATTACAATTTAGCTCCATCGCATCTAAAATGTCCATTTACAATGATTCATCAGAAAAGAAATGAAATGTATTCTAGACTGGACTGACAAAATATATTTCCCAACCTATTACAAAAGAACAAAGAAGACTCATAAACTAGTAATCGACGTATCATAGGAGTTCAATTTTCCAACAGCCTACAACTGTCAAAACGTAATCTCTATGTGGATGGATCTGTCCCAGGTGCGTAAAGCTTATAACGTAATTTCATCAAACGAATTGGAAGTCGGTTATAAATATTTCTTTGAAATAACTCACAATGTCTAGTAATTGTAATGTACAAAAAAGCAATTTTAGCTTTTTATTTTAAAATCATTACATGCATTGTATGTATTATTTTAAGTCTTTTCGTTGCACAGGTTTTCAAAAGATGCAGGTTGATGAAAATTATTGGGAACTTGTAAACTAATTGAGAAATATAATATTCTTGGTGCAATATGAAGCTGGACATGTTTGATGCTCGTTGGTATGCCTATTGGTATCGATGTTGCAAACTTTGTTCTTTTTAGGAACGTGATATTACTTATTTGGATTGACTAAGGTTTACAAGGCGAATGCTGCCGATGAAGCAGAAGACGCTTACTCTTCTGAAACACATTATTTTATTTTCCTTGTACTTTTTCATGTCAATTTTTCCTTTGTTCATATTTGCAGTGGTTTTATGGAATCTGAGTTGGACTATTATCATGTTGACATGTTGGTATTTTCTTGTTGTTTTTTGTCTAGATCTGACTATTACGGCAGAATCACCCACCTGGAATAGCATAATGTAATGACAACGTTCCTCGCATATACCCACCAGAATATGATATCAAGGACACGATATGTTTGTTTATCAAATAGGACACACAATGAACGATGTTTTAACGAATGATTAAATCTGAAAATAAACTTTTGAGAAGAAAATAGCTTTACGTATTGTACATAATGTATATGTAAATGAAAATCATTATAATTTTGAATCTTTGATTTTGGCAGTTTTTAAAGGAACCCACGAAAGAGGAGAAATGGAATTATTCAACAAGGTTGTATGTGTCCAGGTGCTGCCCTTTACTGTCAGGTACCAGGCTCGTTTCATCTGACTTAAACTTAGCTGAAACAGGAAAGCATTCAAGCGACATATCCATGCAACTTCTAATCATGCTGTATAATGAAAATACCGATGCTTGACTTGCATATACACTTGTAAAATGTAAAAGCGATAACCAAGAGCTGAATATGGGCGATTTTATTTTTTCTCTTAGTATACAAATTCAAGTGCTAGGTTCTTTACGCGATATTCCGCACAAGTTAGGATTTCAATCTTTATACATCAAGTTAGAGCGATTTACAAACGTTTGTGCGTCAAACCAGGTTTATATTGTTATTAGCCGAACGGTAATAGTCTACGGTAAATATTCTTTACAAAGGCTATATGATACCAGGTAGTATTGCTCTCAATAATATGTAACAGGCTGTTGAATTGGTGATTGAATGCTCGACTCTGCAAGAACAACGTGTTGTATCATTGAACAATACTTTAATTTGATTGTTACGACTGACTTCAAACATGGTTGGTCAGAACTGGAAATGTTTATACAAGCTATTGACGCCGCTGTGTGGGAAAGAGTATGCTTAATACGTTTTAAGGCGGTCATGTTGCTCCAATAAGGCAGTATTTGAGAATCTGAACTAAACACAATACCACAAAGACCTGCAACTTAACAACCTGGATTGTATCCATTGCTCGTGACCAACTACATATGTGTTTGATTTTTGTGGACACTCTTCGATATCTTCATTAATACTGCACGGAAACGTCTGATGCCTGAAATATGTTCAAAATAAAATTATCAGGTTTTTCTCAATAATACAGTGGAACTTTGTTATTTCGAACTCGGATAGGCCATGGAAAAAAAGCAAGTTCGAATGTTTTTTGCAAAGTTAGGCATGTTACTGACAAAATGCTTCGAATTAAACAGGGTTTTCACGTTATACGAGGTCGTTATAACGAGGTTCGACTGTATATCTTACTTTTAATCTGTCATTTCAAAGCATTGTGGAATATAACTCATCAAACTTAAGTGATAGCTCCAGTGTGATGCATGAGACACCTGTGACTTTCTAGTGACATCTACAGGAACAAGAATGATCTATGCTTCCTTCCTTGTCAATATCTCATGAGATGTGTGTTTAATTTTTCTCGTAGAGACACTTAGGATAGTTCTAATTTAATAATGGGAATCAAGCTAAAGTCCTGCGTATGAACGAAAATTAATTAACTGTTGGCTTTTTATGAATGATTGGAGTAGCATGTGAAGGTGTACATGTGATGACATCAACGTACCCTGTACTGTTCCAACGTATCCTTTAATGCAGCTAATTTGAAAACGTCATACTGGCCAGCAAAACATCCGCAACTAATTTGGTTATTTCATCATTTTTAGAGTATCTTCATATCAATATAACTAAATGGAATATCCACAAACACTGTTTTAAGTATATAATCCTTCACAAGATTAGTTTCAAATGCATATAATGATAGAAATAAAAGATATATGGACTGTATAAGATACTCACCTTCTTTAAGTTCCTGCTTCGGTAAAGTGTAAGTCAGTCGAAACCAACCTGGAATGTGGCAACACAGCTCCATACCAGGGCAAATATACAGACCAGCATGCATCAACTTGTTAAACAGTTTTGTTTCTTCCTCTTTCGTCCGTCCGTTCATAAACTGATAAAACAAGATCGTTCAAAAATTTTAATATTTTGTAAAATTGATCCTTACTGATTTCGTGTATGTGTTAAAGCTGTACAGAAAAAGCATGAAGTACGATTCATAGGGAAAAGGAATCAAAGAGAGTAAAATAACAGATACAACAAACCACAAAAAAAACTAAAAAAGCAAATCTAATTCCCCTGAAGGCTTAATAGAAAATAGAGCAGGTTACATATGAGAAAATCTTTTCTTTGTGTGTCGCATTTACATTCTTGTTTTTATTTTCAAAAATGATTTCTGTTCTTTGCTTCTTTCCGTTAATTCACATTTTCACTGATTTTGCTTTCTTTAGTTTTTTTTATCTTCTTGATTTCGAGTATAAATAACAGCATTTTAAACACTTTACTTTTTTAAGTTAGTGGTCACTATAAACTGAGATAATGAGAACGATTTAAGGAACGGTACATGTGTTGAGTATTTCATGTAACAAATCTAATGATAATAGATAGAAGTAGGTATCTACTGCATATGGAGAATCTTTCACCCGTTTCGCTCTTTTATCGATTGAGTGAAATAAATGTGGACTAAAGTCTTACGTAAAAGTTGAAATATGTACATTACGTACTGAAGGATGAATTCAATACTGGTCGACAATAAATAGTTTTATGCGAGATTCCCTATATACTGTTTGGATCCTCTTTCATCTCAGTAAAAGGAATTACATGCGTATGCATAAGCTACCTCAGAGAGATCCATCCATATGAAGATTACGTTTCGACCACTGTATGCTGTTGGAATATTGAACTCCTCTAATACGTCTTTGACAAGTTGATGAACCTCCTTTGCTCTGTTGTAATAGGTTGGAAAATAGCTGTTGTCGATCCATTCTTGAAGTTTTAGGCAGAAAATTAAAAACAAAACAAAAAACGGAATAATGTTGTTTCAAAAAATTTACGTTGTATTGACATTTTGATGCTAGTTGGTATATCTGGAGGTTCATTGTTGTTTACTTTGTTATCATTTGAGAATAAGGCATTATTCACTTCGACTGATCAAGATTCATCGTAGATGAAGTAAAAGACGCTTATCCCTCTGGAACATTCTTGAGTCTCTGTGTAAATCTTTCTTTTGTTTTCTTTTTGTCCTAATTTTACCCAGTTTTATTTTTTAAATTTTAGATTCCGATGTTGATGTGTCGGTACTTTTGTTGTTTTTGTAATGCGATATGCCATATTCACTTATCTATTGTAAGATCCTTTATATTGCTGTAATGTTATTCTTCTAAATGGTCTAGAAGTTTTGTATTTAATCTATTTTCCATTGTAAATATACATATAGAATTGTTACGTTTCTACATTCATGAATTATTTGAATCATGATTTTGATTTACTTGAGTCTCATTAAAGACATTATGCATCACTGAATAATTCATGAGACGATGTATCTGAACGTACACTTTGTTTCACTTACATATCATACCGTTACCATTTCTAAACTTACATTTTGTATTTCGTTTGAAAAATAATCCAATCAAATGACTAATTCATAAACAAAATTGAAATGGAACATGTTCTGCGGAATATCATTCTCGTGGAATTACGCACTTCAACACTGAAATTAAGGTTACTGAGAAGTTAAAATCCCCATCAGCTACCCAGCGCCTGCTGTTGTAAGAAGCGTACCTTTGTCGGAGAGTATGCCATTGATAAGAATCTGAGTAGGTGCGGGTATAGCAGAGAACATTGCAATTTTCTGAAGATGGCTTATGACTCTTGCATTATGGGAATATACCACACCACATCGGAATCCCGAAAGTCCAAAATCCTGTTAAAAAAACACAAAGCATTTTTCATTTTTTTTTCTATCTGGTATTTTCAAGAATGATAAAATGAGAAAAGGAAACATTAAGATGTTGTATTTTTTGTAAAAAAAAAAAGGGGGGGGGATTTTTTTTTTTCGTTCACGAAATGTTTTGACTTTAACGTTTTTCAATTCTTTAAAATCAAATGCTTGTTCGATTGTTTCAATGACATAACAAAACAATATTTAATTTTCTAAACACATTACCTTACTGAAACCCCAAATAAAATGGGTCTTCTCTAGATCTGGTATATCCATAGACAAGACACTTCTGAAACAACCTTGACCTTGCGTTGATAAAGCATATATTTCATCGAAGATGGCGTGGAGATTTTCCCTGTAAAGAGTCCAATTAACACCTCTAGTGATAAATGAGAAATTGGTTTGTTGAATATGATCGATAGTGTTATTGAAATTTACTTACCGTTTACATAATTCCAACACTTCTGTAATTTCTTGGGGCGTGTATACCTTGCCTGTTGGGTTACAAGGGCTGGCTATAATCACTCCGCGGACATTGAAACCCTATAACATTAGCAAACAATGATATTAGTTTTACCAACCAACCGATGTTATATATATAGAGTAGGTCATGTGATGCTTAATACGATAATGGACACGCTTAAATTACCTCCTTCTAAGAAAGAAACTAGTGATGATGAATAATGATTAATTAACATGATATCTAATATGTGCCATTATTATTCAGTTGTGTATCTGTGAGTAAATATCAACATACATAAACATATATTGACATAAATTCAAGATTTAATGCTTGAAAAGTCTAATGTTACGTATTTAACGAAACAATCGGATATAATAACAACCTTCGTCCACATTTAACTCCATACCACACGCAACATTGTTTTGAATATAGATTATTAGCAAAACTTGGGGACCTCTTACAAGGTTAAACATACAAAAAAGGATTTTTCAGGAGATAAATAAGAAATTTCACGTTCCCATGGAAGATGAAGGTAGACAACGGTGGCATTCTAACGAGTATCAAACTCTCCAACTTCATATCGCAACAGGATATTTGGGAAAAGGTCTCGAGTACGGAATGAACTGCGTAAGACACACCAAGGTTGTGGGAAGTAGTGGGAAATATTGCTATTCAGAAGAAGAATTTTCCCCGGTAATTTGATAGTTGAGAGAGAGTATCTGTAATAAAAGCCCTTACTTAGGTAAGCACTTGTCAGCCTTAGCATCCAAAGGACAGAATTGGGCGATAATTCACAATAGGAAAATTGAAATCATAAAAATTACCATACAATTTGTTAGAACACTCCTACGATTAAAACAACGATTACCTGTATCGAAAACTATATTTCTTTATGTCCGTATTTCAAGCTTTTGTCAAACGAGATTTCTCGCATTTTGTTGAATCATTTTGTGACTAATCAAAATATCAGCTTGGCTAACAAATTAGGCGCGACTGTGGATGGAATTCTGAAGTAATTTGATAGTTAAACCATGTAGTTTTTCTGTTATTCATGTTAAAATATTGTCTTATATCACACTTACTTCCAATCTTGCTCTCCGCAAGTACAATTCCAACAAATCGCTGCGCATTTTGCATGGATCATCCTGTGATTGTTCCTGTAAAAATATTCTGTCTAGAATAATAATTACGTATGGATATTAAGGATGTGGATCATACATATATCAAGTAAAAACTTTCATCTCCAAAAAAACTAGAGTTTCCTCCGTGTATCTTACCGTGATACGTGCTTGTTGTTGGCCTATTTACACTGCACCTCTTTTCGATTGGTCACGTGACCTCAAAATAGAATATTACTATTAATGCTCAGATTTTGTTTACTGGAGCAACCATTTTCCGTATATTACACATTAATTATCCACATTATAATCAGCCAGCTATCCGATATGGACATTTTTTAAACACAATTTTGCATAATAAACAGGGAATTTCATGATGATCCAACATTCACTTTTAATATTTTGATGCTGTTTCTATTAAAGTGTCCGGGTTACTGGTATATACATGGAAAAACGTTGTATTTGTATAAAAGGCATCTCTCCAGGGATACAGCCTGCTTGTTAGATAGGGCCTTTCAAACTATGATAACCTATTCCGGTATCATACAGAAGAGTTAATATTATCATTGCAAATAACTCCTCAAGAAATTCGAAAATATTTGGAAATGCAAATAAATTGAAATGTACAGGCTACCCGCGATCTTTGTAAACAAAGTGGCGTCGTAGGAAATGTTAACAATGCAACAAAATGTTTTGTATGAACACGTTAATGAGCTGCGGAAAAAGAAGCAGTATTAATTCCCATGTCTGCAACTAATCCGTACGTGACCGTCACCTTCATCCAATAAACGACCAGCCAGTGCTACTATGTAAGCATGCGAGATGGTGATCAACTCGACAGGACGTCTTACCTACATTATAGTCAAGTTATGCTATGATGATTAATAACGTAGAATATGATTAATAAAAAAGTTGTTTTCAAATTGCATGTGATATGGATGATGCCATAAAGGGGCCGTCGATCTGATTTTAAACAAAGGCGTTGTCTAATTGAAGGAGGTTTCGACTCACGGGTCAAGGTAAATATACATATTCTTCACAATTGAAGTCACCTCAACCACATCAATCAGACATTTTCTAAATGGTTACAATCATCCATCATTAATTCTTAAATAATGCTTATGTCAAGGGTTTTTCCTCCCATGTACACATGAAAAGTCAGGCCATTGCCCAAAGATGACAGCCGTATTTCCTGTTGAGACAGATGATCTACATCAACACTGGAGAACTTTATTAAAACGACTTGCTCAAAGGTGTCATTGAAATATGAAGTGGAGAGTAGATGATTATATTTTGATTCCATGTTCTCTGCTTTATGTCCGTTTGTCGGTATTGACATATAAACAGAATGTCGATAAAACGCTAACCGTGACAGTACAGTAGGTTATAAATTCAATTCAGGGATAGTCTTTAATCCTGATATCACAACCAAAAAAGATCATGTCACACGGTAATTTCTTCCATCTTTATTGAATATCTCTATACAGAATGACAAAACTCCAACTCTGCATTTCACGAAACGTACTGAATACTTACCTCTCCTCGAGGTCTATTGTTTTGTCGATCTTCCCTAGTGAACAAATACCTTTACCATTCAAAGATAGACATTACGAATTTCGGAAATGTATTCTAGAAATCAATGTATCAATTATTTAGACAGATAATTAAAGTTAAGAAAAGTTTTAAAACTACATCCTGACCCAAATTTATTAACAACTTTACTTTATAACACGTCACTTATAGACTGAAAGTTATAGTAATGCTTGTTTTTATACATATAGAAGAGCTTTTATCATGAAATTTGAATCTAACTTGAGACGAAGAGTGATATACATTACAAAAAAAAAATGACAATTATGAGAATTTCCAAGATAAAGTGCTTTGAAAAATATAAAACTATAGACACTCACATCAAACATTGGTACCTCGTAGATATCAACTCCGCCAATGTCTAACATATCGCTTCTAATCCTCGGGTACATCGGAGTAGGGCACAGGAAAACATCTGCAATTTAAATACCTCCATTAATAGCTTGAATAGCATCAACAACATACATTATTCAAGCATTTTGTTATTTGTCAAAAACGGTCATTAACCTCGTCTTTCGCTGTTTCTATGTACAAAGTGATGCTCACGGTTGGTTGGTATTCTCTAATAACAAGACACATTTGATAAAAATAATCAAAACCTACCTAGATCTTTCAATAAAATCACAGGAATTATAACGTTGACACGGTAACAAACAATAATTCATATTCTAAATTGAGGAGGGGAAATATTAAGAAAACAGAATGGCTCTTAGGGGAAAAGCATGAACAAGTAATTGAGAGGATGACTAGGTGTTCCGGAACAGCAAGCGATATTCCCATTATTTGCGAAACTGGCAAAGCCAAAATATAAAAACTGATTACAATGTACAATAATAATAAAAAAAAAATTGAAATGCTTTATAATAGTGTGTTATAACTCCTTACTCTATATTACAAAAAGAATTATAACGAAGATTAACATTGAAAGAAACTGCAAAATTCAACATCAATTATTTTAAGTAAACAAAAAAGTATATAAAGCCATCACATGGTTTTTGGTGAAGATACATATATTAGATTCAATGCCGTGGAGTTCGGTACCACATTTTATCAACCCTAACCATTAGTGTAATTAATAATGTCGATGTTTTATCCTCAAATATACATGGCTGTTTTGTCTTGTAATATCTTTCAAGCTTCAAAACATAAATGCCTGTAACCAAATGTGCGCCTATCTGGGGATACCTATCATATACACGAGTATAAGCGAACAAACCATATGTTTTTATATTATTCTGTACGCGTGATAGGACAAGTGGTATTCCTTTGATAAAATAACATAAATGCTAATGTTACGGGTAACAGAGAATTTTTTGTTCACATTTTTAGATAGAAAATGTACGAGTGACATATCAAACCTATTGTAGTTTACCTTGTTCCTAATTTGGAATACGACCTTACTTACGTAGATTTACATGACGGGTGTCGTCGATGAATCAGAAGATGCTTAGCCTTTCGGAACTCCTTTTCTAATTATCCTTGTACTTTTTTCCATACAATATTTGTAATTAATATTTGCACTAGTTTCATCGACGTGGAGTTGAAATTCAGAATTTGTTGGCATTGTCACATTTCTTAATTGCCTTCCAATATCTAAATATTCAAATTAAGTGTTAATAACTTTTAAGAATAGGGCTGCTAAAGGCTGTCAAATATGGTGCTATATACTTCTATCGGAGCCATTGTTAAGTAGCTTGAATGTTGAAGGATATGTAAATCAAAGTTATAAATCATTTAAAAACAAATGGGTCACTAGTATGAATATATATTAAAGTATTATAATGATAAAGAGACGGAAATTGCCAAACATGTGTGCGTGAGGTTTATCGAATAATATAGGCTATCGCTGAAACGTTTTGAATGTAAAAGTGTTACCATTGCTTTAGGTGGCAAAGGAAAAAGAAAATAATGAAATATTAAACAAAGAAGTCTTATATTTTCGTACCGCCAACATCCGCCAGAGTAAAGGCTAAGCCATTCAGTGTTGCTGCGACTCCATCCAACAGAATCAGCTATAAATTATCAATTTGTATTTACTAATAAAAGAAAACATCTGGCTATACATATATACATATACAGAGAGTATCGCGTATAATTACTTACAAGGGATAAATTTCGCAATTACACTTACCCATCAACAATGAGGATAATTTAGTTAATAGTTTGAGTAGGAACAATAAATGCTATTATAAAATTACAATGTTCTTCCCTTTCATTGGCCTTAAGTAAGATTGCGGTGCCAGTGAGAAACTCGTTAATATGTAATGAACCTTTAAACTACCCCTGTTCTATTCGATCAATCAAAGTATCCATACTAAAGGTTAATGTCTACATGATGTGAAAAATATCTATTGTAGTTTAAAGTTTAAATCAGTATCTATGAAGAAATACTGATGTTATACTGCTTAGTTCACAAGGAATGGTAATGTATACTGATAGAGGCAACGTTTACCGAGTAATAAGAGTAAATTATAAGTTCATATTGATAATTGTGAGCACAAATACATCTCCTATGTGGTGACATAAAGAGAAAACTATAATTTGTCACAATCTTCTGGTTTTGTAGTTTAATTAGTTCATTACTTACACTTTCCTTTTCGATTTTCATTTTACTTTTGAAATGTTCCTCAATGAACTTGCAGAATGTCTTCAGCACACTAAGGCAAACAAATGAATGCACATTGACGGACTAATACACAGAAATTTCAAATACTGTTTTCTATCATAACAAGTGACAAGTGTTTCAATCACGTTAACCTCTCCGACTGGACATGAAAATGAACGCGACTATCTATTTAATCATGTGTGTTCCTCTGCAGTATTTTGGCTTGTCTTCATATTGTAACGAAAAGGTCGGTTCACAATATTACCGTAAAGAAAACGAAACCAGACTTTACAATCATTTAGCACATAAACATACCAGTCCAAACCATGGTAAGGATAGTAATATAGCATGTCTCTGCTGGCAAAATCAACCGACCCCGATATGTCATCAATCTGAAACAAGTCGAGCGTTTACTTTGGATTAAATGTATATATTTACATGCAGTGTTTCTAACGGACTGGTAATCTTATCCAAGTTGCACTTTCATATTTTCAAATCATTTCAAGCCTGCTCTCTGCTGTTGGGTAATTCAAAATTGCTAGTTTACTTCAGTTCATCTGGTAAGGCATGGTATAGATACATATTTATCACCTAATGGACTTGGTGTCGAGTGAATATACCAATATAAGAGTTTCTGTATATTTCGTTAGTGTTATATACTCAGGAATAATTTTCCATGGCGGTGCCAGTCAAAAATCCATTGTGATGTACTAATATAAACAAGAAGTTATGTCATGCATTGAAAATGTCGCAAGAAAATAGCTATTTGCATTTAAGTTTTTTTATCTACATTTTGGCTTTAGATTATGTCAAATTATCACTTCATTTAGTTTAAAATATCGTTTACTTTCTTTTCATTTCATATTTGAATTTAGGAAACTATCAGGATGATGCGCTTACAAATATGAATAACTCAAAACCTTTAAGAGATGCGTACATAAAATACCATGAAACACAAGACCATTTACGACTCCTTGACACCGAGATTAAGGAGTGAATCTAGAGTACGAAAAGAACCAAGCATTGAGCATTTCAGTGATGCATCTCTTTTAGGTTAAAGATATTTATATCACAGTATCATTATGACGTCATCATTATATAGTCAATGACCGTATGTGATGATCAGATTATAATTTAGGCAAAATATCACCATTATACTTACGGTTAAATTTCTCTATATGCAGCTTATTAACCGCAATGCGTGTATTTATCGATATATACTCATGACGATTAGATTTGCTCGAGAATAATCGGGATCTTTATTTCTTATGCCGGTTTGTAAATACGCGAAGTTTGCTGACATCCTTTATTTCTATTTGAATATGAAGAGACACGTTAGACATTTAGATGTAATGTTAAATTATATGTTTCTGCACACTAATAACTAAATACATCCGTTTAATAATTTGCTCTGTTTGTTATCATAGCATCGTCGATAACTTCAAAGTGGCGCCACCTACTGATTTTGGTATAATATCGCAGGAAAATTGAACTGGCTACTATTTAATGATGTGTGTAAAGCAATATTTTGAATGTTTAATGAAAATCTTTGTTATCATATATAAATTCGACGCATACCAAGCAATATATAGTTGCGAAAATGTAAATACATTTCGATGCAGTTACAAAAAACCAATTGTAAAAAGTGTAAACAACATTAAAGTGAAGTAAAGTATTTCAACAAATCACAATTCATATAATGTTTTTGTCACTGAACACTTCATTAAACATTTGTGTCCATAAGCTTATCGTTTTATGTAATCGACCTTCAATTTAAACACAAGTACGTTGCTAAGCAAAATTGAACAGATAGTATTTACATTTGTATTAACTAAGAGAACGCTTCGTGGCAAGTGTGTTACCTTTTTCAGCCATAAATCTTCACATAACTTGTTTTCCGACGTTCCCAAGTTGACAAACCCCTTTATAGGAAAACAAACAAAAACAAGAAAATATCAACGTGGAAACGTAGTCATAATCCAAAGTCAAATTCCATAAAACCAGTACAAAATATGACAAAAATAATGTTTTACGCGGCGACTCACGCAAAAGTACAATTAGAATAAGACCAGGTATTCCGCAAGGGTAAGCGTCGTCTGCTCTATCGGCGACACCACCAACTTAAAATATTTCTCAATGAGATCACTATGAAGACCATAAAACTTCCCCATAATTTTCATCATCCTGCATCTTTGGAAACCCTGTGTTACGAGTTTGTCCGTTAATTGCCGATACCACGATACAATGTATGCCACAGGCAAATCAATGGTCTTATTCGAAAGAGTATAGGAAACTGGTTTTTTTTAACATAATAATTATGTTGAGAAAGCACTTTCAGGAAATGAGTCAACGATGTAAATGGTTAAGACAAAGCGGAGAACAGAAATACCACTCATACTTCGAAATATTTTTTTCGGGATGGTTATGTAAATACAATAGAAGTTCTTGGAACCCAACCTGTAGAAGACTAGAGGGTGATGTTTCAGTGATTACGCGATCACCTTAATCAGACAAATGACCAGTATGCAGCTTGCTAGCACTGACGTGATATACTGTACGAGATGATGATTAATCTTATCGGATCTTTCGGGGCTTTACTACACTCCTATGAACCCTAAGGTCGAAAGTAGTGTGACGAGAGGGTAAACAGATTATAGAATAAAAGTTCACAGGATAGTAACAATGGATTGTATTCAAATTGGATACGCTTTGTATAAAACTTCGTCATAGATGTACGCGAGTCTTTGGCCGCCCTCGTCCCTGTTTAGTATTGGCCCGCTGTGGTGTATCCAGATGGTCTCCTTAACGTTATATCAAAATATCACCAGAGTCATAGAATGAATAAAACTGCATCATATGCAGCTATAGTTTAGGGGCTTCAGGATTATATTGTTGAAACCGTCGAGGCAAATGATGCACAATAAATTTCAAACCTGAACCCCACATTTAAGTGAATTTCAACATTACCTGATTTCAAACCAATGTTAAGTGCTTGTGCATACGACTGAATAGCAATATTACCTCTGGATTATTTGCAGGATCATAGGTGTTCGCAGATACTTTCTTGAAGTTAGTTTCAAGAAAATCGTCTCGAACGGTTTGCTGTGCCCTTTTAGAAAGCATTTCTGAAAGGAAAACGCATATATACAAACGGTTATCATAACTCGAAACATAAAAGAAAAAATATAATAATCAACAAAACAAAGAGGGTCAACTTTGTAAAAGGACTGAGAATATGCAAATATATTAGCTAAAAGGATAAGCGTCTTCCTTTCCAAGGACGGCATTTGCCCTTTTAATGTTGGACAATCCAAACAATACCCATATTTTTCTAAAAGCAACAAACAAACAAACAAAATTAAACTGTTGTGATAAGCATACCATGTACACACAACTTCATTTTAACAAAGGATATTATTTCAATTCCCCTTTTGTGAATGTTCTATTTCTACAAAGCAATATTCCTGCATCCCAAACCTGTGGTATTTACATGTCACAACTGATTCGACATTCAAAGGTCTGTTCTCATTATTATTTGTGCATGAAGTCGTCAAATGACAAACTCACAACAAATGATACAGGTAGACTGATGAAAATCATGGGGAAGTTTTACGGTCGTCCTTGTGATATCATTAAGAAATATTCTGTGTCATTGTGTGATATAAAACTGGACGTGTTTGATGCTTGTAAGCCCGCCTATTGGTTTCGTTATTGTATATCTTGTTCTCATTTGAGAACGTGACATGTTTGATAAGCTCTTCTATAAATTTAGCCTCGTATGAATTCAAGAACAAGAGTCAGTCATAAACTTTGTAATGGATAAACACCAAACTACTTAATGAAGACTTCGAAAATGTAAATAAATTATTCAGTTTATAATATGTTGGGAATATTAAAAAAAGTTAACTTGAGTTAATTAAAAAGGTTTATGAAAAATTGCAGCTATTCTCTGATTACCTAAAAAAAACAGAAATTTGATCGTTAGATATATGCCCTTGACACGGACAAGTATTACATAAGTAAACATATTGCAGAAAGTTTTATGTTAAGTGAGTCTGAATAGGTATCTCATGTTCCACTTGTGTCTGTGTATGCCGTTATCAGTCACATCAGGGGACATTTACAATCAGCAGCATACTAAAACGTATTTTATTGAAATAATAATTGTTGATAAAATTGCCATGTTCCTCCTGCTATGATTTCAACAGTGTTTTGGGTTTGCATATGCAAATAACCTGCATGATAAATGAACGATATGTACCCAGTATAGATTGGTAATTGTTACTTCCTGCTCTGGTAATAATCACACTTATAAGCAAGACGCTCTTGTTGTTCATGTGATAGATTTTTCAATACATAATCAATCAATTAATATGAACATGCACAGAGTTAATTCATTATCATGTTTGTGAAAGGATAATCAAAATTCATAACAAGCATAATGGTATATTCCATACAGCCTTGATTTGGAATTTTCCATTCGAGATGAAAAACATTTGAAAAGATAAATCGACATTACAATCTTAAAAGCAAGAAAAAACTCTCTGTCATGAAAACTACCTCTCTTCAGAGAAATTCTTTTAGCGGTTAAGCGAGGTTTTAGGTCAGCAACTTGAAGATCGCGGAGTCGATACACTGGGTGCAAAACTACATCATAAAATTCTGGTACATAGTAAAAATATCATGCAACGTACAGATTGGATTATTGTGACACTATCAAGTAGATCACTCTGTTGTTAAACCGGAAATGGTTATATGAACAGGAAGCAGTATTTTATTGTATATAATGTTGGTTGGAAATTCAAAATATGAAAATAATAATTTTCATGAATTTATTGTTGTTTAATTTAGCTTATAACAGGAATTGAGTGTTAAATATGTACATAGTATATTGCACCAAATATGACCTTTACCTGTCCAGCACTGCATAGCCAAGTAGGGACTTATGTAAACAATGGTAGCCAGAATTCATATAAACAAATGTGATGTGTATATATAAACAGTGCAGTACAGTTAGAGTAACGATGATTGTATAATTATAACGTAAAATATTTCAAGGTCATGAGAAAATAATAGTTTAGATAGTGAATTGTATATAGTTGCTTAGTACAGCATTATGAGTATGTAAGGTAAACATGACCGATTTAGCAGATGTTAGGTTCTGCGTAATTGTTAAGTATTTGATTATTATATATGTAAATAGTGACCAATATGCGGTGGGTCTGAAGACTGGTAGTACCAATTGTCATTCCAGACAATAGCTTCCTGGGATTGGGGAATGGACCAATCAACGGTCGTTGCACTAAATGTGCATCCCCAATCCATCAGCACTTATCCCATACACAATAACAAATGGCGCCAAGATTCTGCATTTTGTGTCCAAATCGGTATCATTTTGACAGAATCTTGATATGGTTGGGTCGCCAGGATCAACCATTGTTCTTGAGGAATTTCCACCTGCGGAGTTGTCCGACTTTTGGCTTCCCCTATAAATACTGGGCAGTTTTCGCTGCTCATGGCACTTGGATCTAGGGATGCCAAAGGGACAACTTCCGGTTGTGGGACTCTACGGAAGCGTGATAGGGAGCGAGCCTTCTTGTGGACTTTACTGTGCTATATAAACAACAAGTAGAAAGGAATTTGGACTTGGCTTTTTCTTCGGGAAACACAACGCGAGCGGGGGCACAGTGGGGTTACAAGAGGTGATTTGGTGCCGTGACCAGGATCCAGTAACAACATCTTAACTGGATTGGCTCATATAAGGTAGGTGGAACTCTTTTCGCATTTTGTACCTTATCACTGACCTTTGGCAGCATCTTCAATTGTTTACAATTAGGTTATTAATTGTAAGGGAAGTAGGATATCTTATGACGTCATGGTTAGCTTGTTATCAGATGTAGAAATGAGTAGTATTGCTGAGAGAATGGCTAACCTAGGTACCCCCCAGTTAAATGAAAGGCTCCCCCCTCAGGAAAATCCATCCTCAAGTGCCCCTGGGAGAGGGACTCCTCAAGATGATGGGGAGGTACTCATAAGAAGCATGGCGCAACAGTTCAAAAGTCTTTCGGCGGCTATGACAGCACAGGGTGTGTTTCAAGTAGTAAAGGTTTTTGAAGGTGACCCTTCAAAGTTTAAGGCTTGGATCAAAGAAATTGAAAAATATGCTAAATTGGTAGGGTTGGACAATGGGTCCATACCAAATATAGCTTACCAGACAAGTACGGGGTCAGTAGGTGACTTTATTAAAAGGTACATTGATTCTATGGAAGGAGATGGAATCCTTAGTTGGGAGGATTTAAAGAAGTTATTAAAGCAAAGGTTTGCTGAGATAACAGACTCACAACAGGCCCTGGCCTTGTTGAGAAAAACTAGGCAAAAAGACACTGAAAGTGTGCAAATATTTGCAGAACGACTTCTACAGATAGCTGAAGACGCTTGCACTAATGCTCAAGACAATGATAGGGGAATAGTGCAACAGCAATTAGTTAATACCTTTTGCGACGGGTTGGCATATGACTACCTTAAAATGAAAGTCATGAGAGAAAACCCCCAGACTTTAGAAGACGCTGTAGGCATAGCAATGAGGGAACAAAACTTAAGAAAGCGGTTTGATTTAAGAAAAGATGACAGTGATGTCTTTCATAGAGTAGATTCCCAAAGATTGGAACCAAAAACAGTCCCAAGACATACTGACAACGACCCAAGACAAATTGTCCCTATGGAAATAGACCATTCAAGACAAAGACAATGCTATAGATGTAAAAGAGATAATGTTATGGCAAGGTCACACCCCATTTCTAGAGACAGACCATGGTTCAGACAGTACAATTCGGATAGACAAAGTTGGTTCCAACATCCAAGGAATCATAAAGACAATAGCCACACCCAAACAAACAGCTCTCAAGCAAAACCACCATTAGTTCCTCCTAAATATAATCATGTACAGGCTTTAAGACAAGACGTAAGACAAGACAATCACGAAAACAACCGGTTATATACACCCACGTTAGTGTGTTGGCATTGCAATAACGTAGGACATATAAAAAGAAATTGCCCTCGCCTAAGTGGTAGTTACCCAAGAAATACTCAGTTAAATTAAAAACCTCTCCCCATAAGGAAACCGATGGAGAGAGGAAAATTAGGTCAAGTAATCCTGTATCTAAGACAATAAATATATCAGGTAACCCAAGTACAACTGTGATAAAATTAGGTAAACAAAGAGTTAGAGTCTTGATAGATACTGGAGCTGAGGTTTCCCTTATTAATGATAGGATTTTTAAGACTTTTCCAAAGAAGCCAAGATTAAGAAAAGAAAACATGACCCTCCAGACAGTCGGTAGTACACCAATCGAGGTAATAGGTTCTGTTGAACTTCCTTTTCAAATGAGAAACATGACCTTAAGTCACAAGTTTTATGTTGTTAAAGGAATGAATAGGAACTGTATTCTTGGACTAGATTGGTTAAGAAAAAATGGCGTTAGAATGTACTTTGATTTGGCATGCATGCGTATAGGAAAGACATATGTTCCCTTAGAGGAAGATGTACATATTGCTTCTATAATTCGCATCACCAAGAAAACTGTCTTAAGACCACAAACAGCTACCATATGCAATATTAAACTTGTTAGAAGCTTTGAAGTGCCCGAGTCAAGATTACTGAATATTTCTCCTGAAATATCAAGTGAAGAGACACCTTGTATAAATAATGAACCCGGGGTAGTATTACAGGAAAGCATAGCTCAGGTAAAAAATCCCTTTAAGATACCAGTCTTATTAGTTAACAATACCAATAGAACAATGACCTTAAGACGTGGTAGTGTAGTAGGGAAGGCAACAGCTGTAGAAACAAAAGACATAAGTAGTGCAACTGTAACTGACAAAAATGGCAACAGTAAGGAGGATTTTAAAGATGTAAGTGTACCAGAAAAATATAGAGAAGACACTATTAAACTTCTTAAAAGAAATAGAGACCTATTTGCGAAGAAAGACTCAGATTTAGGTCATACTGACACAGTGAAGATGCATATTGACACAGGAAACAACAAACCTATAAGAAATCGTGCATACCGCACCCCACTCAACAAACGCGATGAAGCCATAGATGAGATGTTAGAGGCTAAAGT